TTTCCTTTACAAAATAAGTACATACTTTTAGGGCATAGTATACAGTAAGTATGTGAATTGGGACAAGAAGTTGTACAGCATACTTCATTAGGTATAATGAAATTCTTCGATATTAAATATGAATTGTCTAAATGTTTTTTAAATGTTTGTCTAAACCTTTTTTTTGTGGACTATTCAAGCTTGATATCATGGTGCCTGACTCAAGGTTACTGCAGTATGCTTTTGTTTTGATGCAGTTATTCCTATCTAGTTTTAATATTATCCTGCATAACAAATCAGTGTTCCATTCTAAATCTGAATGAATGTTTTCTCCTTGCTGTCTGGCCTACCGACAATAGGTGCAGGTTTTTGTGAGGCTGGATAAATAAAGCGCTCATGCTGTAGCGATGCTATGGTCAAAGAGCCCTTTTCCCAAGCCTAGCACTTCACCTGCTGAAAGGAGATATGCGTTCTTATGAGTGCAGCGCCACAGTTAAAGGGATTTGAGCTGCTTTCATTAATGCTCCATCACTGAGCAGGAGAAGCTTTTAGAGCCAGCTAGGGTTTATCTCCATGATTGAATCATTCTTTGAATGCGGAAATGCTCAGCTAGGAGAAAAACCTGAAGTGCCATCTTTCCATGCTTCTCTCTCTCTTTCTCTTTCGCTTTCTTTATGTTCTCGCTCCGCCATTTTTCAAACCAGAGATTTTATCAGTCTGGTCTTCTCGCAACCCGTGCAATAAAACAGACAAACCCTCTTTCTCGCTGGTTTGGGCTCCTACTCCAAGGTGCAGATGTATCATAGTCAGTGAACTTTAAAGAACTCAGAATTAAACCCACTCGTGGGTCCCATTTATCAAAGGAGTCCATGGTCTATTATTGACTTGTAGATCCTCGCAGGCCTTTCAGAGTTTTCAGAAACAAATTGACCAATAACACCCACCAGACTCTCAAGTAAAGTACAGCACACATGACCTCAAAAAGTTTTCAGGAGCTAAAGATTGAGTTACTTTAAACAAAAATGTAATAAAAGCTGAAATTCCACCTTTTATTGATATTAACCTTAGTATAAGTGGTATCATAAAACATAAATTTTGCTTTTATTGAAATAAAGGAAATGTGGGGTGTGTTTTAGCCCCTTTATAATTTAATCAAAAACACAGTAAAAATAATGTTGTGTAATATTAATGTAAAAAAAGTTAACTTTTTCTAATTTTATTTTGTTCTGCTTGAGAAAAGCATTTTTAACCTTTATTGATCCAGCCTTTAGTGTGACATGATATTTCAGAAATAATTACATATAATCTATATTAATATTTTTCTTTTTCTTTCTTTCTTTCTTTCTTTCTTTCTTTCTTTCTTTCTTTCTTTCTTTCTTTCTTTCTTTCTTTCTTTCTTTCTCACTCTCTCCCTCCCTCTTTCCTTTCCTTTCCTTTCCTTCTTTCCTGTTACAGACTTGAGCCTTTGTTTACTGTTTTTGTTAAATGTTTGTGTGTCTTTTGGAAAAACATTTTTCAGTAAAATTTTAATTTTGTGGGTTCAAATAAATTCAGTGGAAACATTGTAAATGTCAACTTCTTATTTTTTTAGTAGTACAAGCTTAAATGGTAAAATATAGTACCAGAAAGCAAAAAAAAAAAAAAAAAAAAAAAAAAAAAAAAAAAGCGTGTTACAATGTCAAGAATCCTTGTTGATTTAAGTTTTTTTTTTTTTTAAAGCTATGGATGATCTTCCTTGTTTTGACTTGATGTGGTGTTATGGTGGCGCTCTATGTGAGGCTTATGAAAATGAGTTGGTTTTTGCTCCCAATTTTTTTTTTTTCTTTTTTGTGAGTTAATTGTTTAAATAATGTAAAAATAGTTTTTTCTTTCTTTCTTTCTTTCTTTCTTTCTTTCTTTCTTTCTTTCTTTCTTTCTTTCTTTCTTTCTTTCTTTCTTATACTGAAACAATAACAACACCATCTGGCAATGATTTTCAGGTCCCCAAAATGCCATTGTTGTGGAAATGAACAATACAACGAAACTTTTCAGTGTCCTGACTTTTTAGGTAGATTTTTGTTTTGGCGCTGGTGTTTTGTTCTTTAATGGCACCCATTGTCTGTTTATACAATTAATATTTTCAGAAAATAAATAGCAAACCTTTTTATAATATATTCACTGTAGGGGTTGTTATTGTTTCCCAAACTTAACATTTAGCAAATGCGTTTCATCCAAAGTAGCATACAGTACACTAATTGCACAGACAATCCCCCCGGTGCACCTTGGGGTTAAGTGCTTTGCCTATGGACACAATAGTAATAGAGTGGGATTGTTTTCTCATTAACTTCCCCATTTCCTTGGACACCTGGGATTGTACTTCCAGTCTTTGAGTGTGTAGCACAGATCCTTTACTATTACGCCACCACCATTTCTCCTCCATCATCAATGCAAGTGTAATTAAAACGTGCTTTCCTGGAGTTGTTGCACAGTGGTAAGTTAGATCTGTGCTTTTTCAACTCTGATACTTTTTTTTCCATATTAAAAGTACTTCTATTTACACTACGGTGAACTCCAGCAGAAACCCTGCTGCTGATGGAATATGACACCACATCCATCATTTGTCACTGTCAAGATGTCAATGAGAATTACATGTCATGTTTAAACCTCAGAAGCTCCCCTCCCCCATGTAATCCAGTGTGTGTGGAAATGTGCACTTGATGATGATGATTATGATGATGATGATGATAATACTACTACTACTACTACTACTAATAAAATTGTGTTTGTTTGTCCTTACCTTTAATATACATCTCCCTCAATAAGTACTAGTAAGTTACTAACCCTAACCCTAACTAGTAAGTACCCTAATAAGTACTATGCATGCACATTCATCGTGAATTTCAAAATCACTTTGAAACCAGTTTTCATATTTATGGTTTCAGTGACAAACATGCTGCTGATGTGCTAATGAATAAACAATACACACAAAAGTTTTTCATTTTTGACTGAAAATGTTATTGAATAAACAGCCTCTAAAATTTTCAACCTAGTGAAAATTAAAGACTGTAAAACATCTAAAATTACTGTCAACATTTGTCCCTCTTAACTCTAGAGGTGGTAATTTTGACCATTTTTAAATCCTGTATTTTAATAACTATTACTAAAATAACTAAAAAAATATTTCTATAATAAACTGACTTTTCCTTGTGTGTATTTCTTTCTAGCATTGTTTTATAAAAATGTAAAAACACAAAAGAGTTCTGATTATTTCTACCTTGAACTACATTAGTGGTTAAAATTATCGCTTGCATTTCAGTGTCACTCTTTTCCTCCTGCCTTTGAAAATACATGCCTCTGTTGCCTAGCAACTTCCTGCTAGCATAAACACAACTTTGATAACAAAAACATAACTTTACTTGAAAAGATGTGTCTTTCAGTACAGCATATTCCATGCCTCGAAAAACCTTGCTCTCCCTCTTATGAAGTAAAAGTGAAGTGAAATGCGCAGCTTTGCAGGCAGTCTAGTAACTCATACACATTTATAGGCTGTTATAAAAAATATGCATTTTTAGAATAATGACTTTATAAAATATGACGACAGACATTCAAAGCTTAATTCTAATATCTTAATAGAAGCTTTAAATGTAAATATGACGTGGCAATATGACATCTTATATGAGAACAGTCAGATTGACTGCTATGGCCATTCTTATTTAAGATATCGGGTAGTTCCAGTGTTAAACAATCCCATGCAAAGTCTCATGGAAACTACACATTCAATATCATTAGTTGTGCCAACAAAAAATATTTATGTTGTCCCAATACAAAACAATTAAGTTAACTAATTGAAAGTAATATAAATAAACAGTAAAAAAAATCAGAAGTGTTTTATTTATTAAATAAAACAATGATTATTTCTTATAAACATATTTTAACAATCCAGACTCATTGGAAACATGCGCCTCAAGCTACATAAAACAAATTGTTCTGGTTTCTTTACGTTGCACATTTTAAAAACAAATACACTAGATAGTGCTGTCTACATTAACATTACTTGATGTGCATATTGTTATACATTTCAGATACAACTCCATGCCCAGGAGAAAGCAGCGCTTATTGTACAGATCACCAAGCAAACCACTGACCTAAAACCTTCCCTATACCCAACCCATAACAAACTGTTGAGAAAAGTGAATTTTTGCTCTAGGCCCACCTCCATCCCGCCCCCGGTTCCGCCTCTGCTTCACCTCCCTCCTGGACTGCAGTGGGACTGTCTGTTACAGTCACCAGTGATCTAGCTACTGCGGATTGCTGGAGAACTATAACTCTTCCACCAAATGGACTACAAATCACAGCATGCACCGCGCACACACACTGGTTTCTAATCTTGTCTGATTGCACTCACAGCTAAAGCTGCTCAAGCACTGATTACACAGACTATTTATACACCACATTTGCTCACATGTAACTTTATGTAGCATTTTTATTTCCTTGACTAGCCATGTTTTTTGATTCTTGTGTTTTATGTTATCTACTCCTAACCTTGTTCCGAGTTTATCTACCCTTTCTTGTGTTTTGACTACTTGCCTGTTTATTGACAAAGACTTCTGGATTATCTGTATGTACCCCATTGCTCCTCAATTTTAATCATATACTTTTATCATGATTTTACCGCGCTTCAATGGTCGCTGACAGAGTCAGTGATTAAGCAAACTGACCATGTCAGAAAAGTTGTTCATATGGAGATGTTTGTTTTGTGGTATATATTTGTTTGATGTTATGCAAAGAACAGCATGAAAATAATTCTTTATTTGTCAATAATATATTCCTTGTAGCATTTGTTTTACCTAGAAACTGCAGTCAGTAAATTTTTCAGTTTCACCAAAATTTAGACTTATACACAAATTTCCAAATAGCGTGTATTGCATTTTCATACTAGTCATTTAAACAAGCAGTTACATGATTTAAAAAAAAAAAAAAATATATATATATTTTTCATGTTATAATATTTGAATACTTCCACAGCCTTCAGCTTAACCTACCTGACTCTATGAAGTCTTGGTTGAGGTTGATCCAGGATTCTTTGCTCTTACGCAGACTCTCCTCCATGGCTTTGATGTCTGCAAAAGGGCAGTTACAATCAGGGAACTTTGTGGAGCAGCGGCACCAGCAGTCATTGTTACGGCACAGTAGTTCGCCCTCCGAATTACACGCCACATAACTGAGGGCCGCCTCCACAAAACGATTTCGCAGGAACTCAGGAAGCACATCCTGAAGACCTGCGTGTGTGGGAAGAGAGAGAAAAATCTGTTTATTGTCATGTTAGACGCGGTGAGCTAATCTAAGATTTGATTTCAAGACAAAACACTTTTTTTGCTGCTGCTAGGTAGGTAAACAAGTATAGAATGGTGTTTAGATGTGATATAGCCTCATATGTTTGCCCAACATCTGAAATCGGTTTCTAGATCTGCCATTCTTGTATGCTAAAAAGAAAATCAATCCCTGAATCATATGACACCATTATGAACCCACCCATCATCTGTCCTCTGGCTCTCCTCTCTTCTCTCCTCACTCTCTCTACCCACTTAACTCTCCAAGTAATATGTTTTCTATTTTAAGTCTCCATTTAGAACAATATAATATCACAGTGGCATGAGGTGAACCTCTGAAATGATGAAGCAAAGTGCCCTTTTAGCATGGCAAATCTGTATTTTTTTTCCGTTCCATTAGATATTGTGTGCTTTACCTCACAATATCAACAAGCCTATCTATCTATGTACATTTTCTTTCTTATGATTATTGGCTAGCTATTATTAGTAGCCATCATTTGAATAATGTGCATGTGTATATGGCTTTTAATTTCTTTTTATGTGTTCTGCAAATAAGTGATTAAATCAAATTAAAAATAAATATTAATAAATAGATTAATTACAATGTACCAAAAATGTAACAAACCCTGTCTTGGAAAGAAGCCCAAGGTTGTATTTATTTGGATAAAATATAATAATGAATAAAAATAAATAAATAATAATACTGTAACAAATTATGGCAAATAATATATATATAATATATAGCTTCCAGGAGGCATCTAAAACAAATGCCGGAACTACTCCGAGCTCCTCCCGGGTGAAAGAGCTCCTCACCCTATCCATAAGGGTGTGCCCTGCCACCCTTCAAAGGAAACTAATTTCGGCTGCTTGTATCTAAGATCTTGTCCTTTTGACCATGACCATTGGTAAGAGTAGGAACGTAGATTGACCGGTAAATCAAGAGCTTTTCCTTTTAGCTCAGATCCTTCTTTACCACAACTGACCAATATATAGACTGCATTACTGCTGCTGCTGCACCAATCTGCCTGTCAATCCCACGTTTCATCCTTTCCTCTCTAGTGAACAAAAATCAAGATACTTGAACTCCTCCACCTGGGGTAAAGACTTTCCTCCAACCTGGAGATGGCAATCCACCTTTTTCCGGTGGAACACCATGGCCTCAAACTTGGAGGTGCTGAATCTCCTCCCAGCTGCTTCACACTCGGCAGCAAACCGCCCCAGTGCATGCTGAAGGTCCATGTTCGATGAAGCCAACAGAACAACATTGTCTGTGCATAACAGGGATGAAATCCTGTGGTCGCTGAACCGGACCCCCTCCAGCCCAAGGCAGCACTTTGAAATTCTGTCCATAAAAATTATGAACAGAATTGGTAACAAGGGGCAGCCCTGCTGTAGTCCATTGTGCACTAAACAGTTATATTACAGTATTATACAATACAATTCATTGCTTTGAAATCTGAATCAACAAGTCAATATAATGCTGACATGTTTATATACAGTACATGCTGATATATTTTTATTATTGTTAAAATTACAGCATCAAATTAATAGTTTTATATCTGTCATTGTTTAAAAAATATATTTTTATTTTACCTATTCTTATCTTCTATACTTTCTTTTTTTAAAGTTAATTTTCAGACCATTAGTGAACATTGATGCAGTTCAGAGCTTATAAGGGTCGCAGGTATTCTCAGTCCTCACTGCTCAGCACAAAATACATCCTTCACAAATCTATCTTTTAAATTCATATTTTAATAGGAAGCTATACAATATTCTATATGTGCATATACATTAGATTAGTCAGTACTGGAGCCAAATCTAGAGCTTAACAAAATTACTTCGGTCCAAAAACTAGTACACCCACATTTTTATGTAATAGAAAAATATTAAATACAAATCTAAAAAAAGAGGAAAAATCAATAGAAACAAAATAATAATAATAATAATAATTTTAGTTGAAAATGTTTAGGTTGTAATAGTTAAAAAATAGCTTGAATTTAATTTTATTATTTTTCAATTTTTAAATATGTTTGGTGACTAAAATATTATTTTAATAAATACATCTGTTTAATAAATCTGTTTTGTTTAAATGCACCAAAATTCATTGCTTATATTCACTGGGAAATGGATATACATATTCATTTTCAAAATGCGATGTGCACAATCATGCTGAGTACTGAACATTTTAATCACAACTTGACTTGAAGTGATAAAACAGATGTTTAAACCACTTGTAACCATGTAGGCTGGCCCTTATCTCATTAATGAGTTTTCTAAATAGTTTCTAAACCTCTGCCTCCCAGTCAAAAAACTGCAAAAATGGAGACACATTGCTGTTGTTTCACAGTCCTGACTTGTCTGTGCAATGCAGGACAGGCTGAGTCGGGAAGCCGACAGCATGTAAAGTGGGTCAGAGAGACAGGCAGCTCTAACAACATCAGTGATAGGAGTCCTATTTGGGACGGAGAGGTCTGCTATGTCAGCGCAGTAATGGGGTAATGGGATGAATAAAGACCAACAATCTCTGTGGCAAGGTCATTCAGCCGTAAACCTCTGTCATGAACTGCAGGCACGCTGCAGACAGGGAATCAATGCGCCAATTGCAGAATTCTACCGCCCGATTAGGTGTTTTGATAGCAGGCAATGGAGGAATTGACATTTGCCCGGAAAACTAATTATTGATTATTTGAGTGATTTTGGACAAGCGTTACAAGAGGGTACAGTTGTATACAGGGTACAACATTAATTGTTTGCCACATTTGCCCGAGAGAAGTCAAATTTTAAAAAGACTACATTACCATGTTGAAAACAGTTGAAAACAAAAATAATGACATGCTACTATTCACACATTTAAGTTATGTGTGCTTTTAATGTAATAGTAGTATTATTATTATTATTATTATTATTATTATTATTATTATTATTATTATTATTATTGAATCTCTATTTAAGAGCTTTTTAGTATTTGTATAATACTTATACAAAAAGTATTTTTACTGTACATGCTACAAGTTTTTTTCAACAATTTTGCATAAAAGGTAAATATTATATCTTCTACAACCGTTCTGCGGTTCTTAAATCTGATTGGCTGATAGCCGTATGAAAATTCTGCAAATAACAGCACCAGAACAGCCTCTTAACCCTTCCCCCTTGTGCATTACTCTGCCCACATAAAGCAAGTAGAAGACACTACAGTTTGACGAATATTGCTGCTGTTGGACAACATAATGTCCTTTTGGGGCTTTTTAGTCTAGAATGTAGCTGTTTAGATTGCAACTTTGCAGTTTATTTATAAGCATAGTGGCTATTTTTAAATATTAATAATTTCTAAGTGACAGCGCATTGGCAGCCATTACCCTGTCTTTGAGCAAAGACAGTTGATGATGTTTATTCACATCATCAAAGACCGCATAACAAGCCCTAAGACAAAAACAGAAAAATTTCAAACTACAGCTGATCAAATCATCATTAAACAGGTAAATGACTTTTTAAGTCGATCTTTTGCTTTTGTTTATTGTAGTGCTGTATTTATACCATAGTAACATAGTGATCTCCCGATTAAGACAGAGAAATTGTGGAAAATCTCTGTAGACTGATGGCATTTCATGCAGTTTAGCCTTGTAATCTTAAAATATGAGCAAAATTATCTGTTTTGTCATCACTTTAGACATTAAGCTAGAGAATCATTCAAATACTAAATCTAATCTAAAGTGACGTTAGTGAATGAGCAACGTCAGCCGCAGATGTGAAGGAATAGCATAAGAAAGTAGTTCTTTAAAGGGTTTTGCGACTCTCTGCGACTCTTTTTTTTTTATACACATGATTATGCTGTTGAACACACCAGTAGCAGTGTGATATGCCTGTTTATCATCACTGGTGGAATACTAAGTCACTCAGCTTGCGGCCTCGTAAAAACACACACCTCCCAGCAGTGCCGATATACAGCCACATCGCAGTGCTACTCGTGTGATATTGCTCATATATTTTATTTTATTTTAATAAAAAGTTTCATTAGAAACTTTTACTCACTTAAGTTTCATTTATTTATAATTTAAAAAAATCTACAAATAAAAATTAAAAAAAGTAAAAAAAAAAAAAAAAAGTATGCTGCTATTTCTTGCAAAGTTACCAGTCAAACGGCAACCTTTTTGAACCTTGGTTGTTAATAACATGGAGAAATCTATAGAGACATTTTGGAGAGCAGAACCCCTGTGTTCGGTTTTCTCGATGCGATCTCCTAAGGCCTTCTCATCAATACACACCTATGAATTACTTATGAAAGCATTCATAGCTGAATACATTAATCCAGCAGCCATTCCACAGCATAAGTGAAAGACTCAGATTTCACAGCCCAGCTGTGTCTGAACACCTGCTAATTATATTATCTGAGAAAACGCACTTCGATGCTTTTTGCAGGTCTGACATCCTTCAAGACGGAATCAATGCCTTTTGCCTTCATATTCAGTCTTTTTTATAATTCCCTTCCCGGTGTGAATATTTATGATGTGTTCCTCAGTATTTATTCGTGGGATTGTGAAAAACAAGAGACATAATTAGATGCAGTCTTCATCTTAAGCTTTGGCTTCTGCTGGGTGGAGAGCCAACCGTGTGGGGAGCCTCACAAAGGAGAATGACTTGGATGGCTTTCATAGCGGAGACAGTTAAATAGCTGCTCTCCTGCCCCCTCCTTCACAGCCTCAGCCTTTTAAAAGAGAATGAAGAGGAACATGAATTTTTCCTGTGGATTATTTCAGGCATCTATGGTATCGACGGCTTGATGTCCTAATTTTAAGGGGTCTAAATTCTGCTCTGCGAAACGAGTGAGCTTTGTTTGAAGTAGGGCTGGGCGATTTGGCAAGAGAAAGTTTGAGAACGGTTGTCAGATAATGTTTTTGGTTTTGGTTTATGCTTAACTAGCCAACCTAAAAGTGTAACTGCAACATCATTAA